CAACTTTAGCATGTTACAAAACTGATGATGCTGTGTTGCATTTGCAGGAATATAGTTAACAATACTTATAACTTGGTGCAAAGTGTTGCTTTAAATAGAAGCGTGAGCACAGAGATTTTGCTGATGTAAGCAACAATGAAAAGAAATGAGAGCATCTGGATCTGTTAACACTTCTTTTTATCTCTTCGATAAACCCTTCATGTTTTCCTGTTATGGAAGGTGCACCATCTGCACATATACTCACTAAATTTACCAAATTCAGATCAATTTAATGACATTTATCTTGAAAGTTGTTGAAGATATCTATTCACCATGTTCTGTTCACAAGAATGCCCAAAGCAAGTAACTCTTCACAGCAAAGAAAATCTTGTTATGACCCAAATGAAGTATAAAACCTTTGCTAATTCAGTAGTATCAGTTGATTCATCCAAAGCAATTGAATAATATATATTTTCCTTTTGAAGTATTACACAAAGTTGTTCTGTTAAGTTGAAGGCTAATTCATGATGCTGATCAGTTATGGTTCTCCTGGAAAGAGGCAGTTGTTTGTACTTTGAAACATTATCGGGGTCTAAGCATTCTACAACTTCAACAACGCATTCTTTCATAACTTCTACATCACTGAATGGCTTCCCTTTTTTCCTAAGTATATAAGCTATTTTACAAGTTGCCTCAGTGGCATTATTTTCAGGTCTTATTGCTGCTTGAAAGAATTGTCTTTGCTTTTGCTTTTCATCTTTTAATTTCTGTAATATGACATTTCTAGCCTCTCCCTCTAATTTAAAATATTTGTGGTCCTGATAAGTATTATAATGCTGATAAGCATAGAATTTCTTTAATGTTGATATTGCAGTATCACAAAGCTAGCAAATCATCTCATCTGTAGCAGAAACAAGATAATATTGCAATTCCCAATCCTCATTAAAAAATCTGTTTTCCTCCTTCAGCATTCTTTTGATCTTCTTTGACATGATGGGCTATTAAGCAGACAGAATTAAAAAATACCATCAAGCTGTGCGACTATTCACAAACTCTACTTCAAACAGAAACACAGTGCACCATTGTCAAAAGCTGATAACAGATGTACATACTTGACCCCCACAAACTCTCACCAACCAGCCTTGTGTGGTAGTGGTGCCAGTTAGGCGGGGGAAGTTAGAACTAATTCATAAGCATACCAGCTGTCAATTTAGCTTTTATGGCTTTCTAATGTTCTAACTGTGCTGGTCAATCTGGGAGGATTGTTTTATTGAAATTTATTTTATTCTTTGGTATTTTAAATAAGTTCATTTTAAAAATAAAATAAAAATATAAAGGGTGAACAAAATGTATTAATAAAAATAAAATAATTTTTTCTGTAGACTTTGGATTCAGTCTAAAGGATGCACTTAAGGATCTAGAAAGCCACTTGTGGCCTTAAGGCCGGAGGTTGGCCACCTCTATCATAAATTGATCAAAAAAATAATTATTTTGAAAAAGGTCAAAAGCTAACCAGAGGTAACCAAACACAGAAAATAGTGCACCCTTGCAACATAAGACTGAAAATGGGCTGGGTGCCGTGGCTCACACCTGTAATTCAAGTACTTTGGGAGGCTGAGGAAGGAGGATCACTTAAGGCCAGGACTTTGAGACAACTCTAGGCAACATAGCCCAACCCCTGTCTCTACAAAAAAAAATTAAAAATTTAGCCAGGCATAACAGTGCATGCCTGTAGTCCAGAGGCTGAGGCAGGAAGATTGCGTGAGCCTGCAGTTGGAAGTTGCAGTGAGCTAAGACTGCACCACTGAACTCCAGCCTGGGTGACAGAACAAGACTCTGTCTCAAAAAAACAAAAACAAAAACAAAGCAAAGAATCAAAAAAAAAAAAAGACTAAAAAGTGTCAAGAGGAAAGAAACTGAAAGAAACAGGATCCCAGAAGGGAATGTTAGCTGTCCTGGTCTCCCTGGGGAACACACACCTGAAGCTGAATGGGGAAAGATTAGAGAACAAGATCTCAAGAAATATCACCAGTACCTCTCAGTTTGGCACAAAGAGGCTGAACTGGCAGCCTGGAGAGTCCAGGAGAAATTCTGGAGGGAAGGAGTCCCTGAGCACCCTCACAGAAGCCAGCAGCGGCCAGAGGAGCAGCAGGACTTGCAGGTTTCCAGGCCTGCATGCTGCCTGAGGGAATGAGCCAAAAGCCACAGGAAAGGACACTCACCTGCTGAGCAGAGTGGGCCCGGGTGTGGGATGCCTAACTCTGACCTTGGCCTGTCCCTGTAACCCTCAGTCCTCAGGAGAGTAGAGAGTATCACCCAGCTCCCAAACTCTAGTATTGAGGGAATGACAGGCAGAAAAGATGTCAAAAAGAATTCAACCTCACACCCTCAGAGCATTAGGTGGTCTGGCCAGACTCACCCATGCAAAATTAAAAGAGATGTAATGGAAGCTACACCAACATACTAGATTCTAAAAAGAAGAAGGAGGAGATGGAAGAGTAGGGGAAGGAAGAGAAGGAAAATAAACAAGAAACACACATCTAGGCTAGAAGAAATCACTGTCCCAGGTACAGAAAAAAACCTCCTGAGAGTAAGTGCTTCACATTATAGAACTCATAAGAATATTTACTATTTAATTAATTTCATTAATCCAATTGTTACTTAATTATATTAATTTAATAATAAATTATATTGATTTAGTATATAATTAGTATTAAAATATTTAATGTGTTTTTGAAATTTAATAAAACAAGAACCCAAGGATGAGGTAATTGATCAACTAAAGGAAATGAAAAAAGAAATTCAGAGCTAAGGAAAAATTAAGGATAAAAACAAGAGCTTTATGGAACTATTAAATAAGTTAGAAACATCAAGGAAGCTAAAAAATTTTCTGGCTCTGAGAAGAAGCTTGAGATAATTACAGTAAACATAGAGGAAAATGATAAAGCAGCTAAGATATTGATGTATGGGGGACAGACGCAAATTATCCAACATAAGGGAAATTGGTGTTGAATTTCAGGTCAAGATGTTGAATGCAAGGAGAACTTCCCGTACTGCATTGCAAATGCATAGAAAAGCTTTACAACATTTAAAAAGATATTTTAAAATGACATTTCCAAGCACCAAGCAAAAAAAGGGAAATCTCCAGGGACAGAGTAGGAACAAAGGTGTATGGGCATACCTCAGAGATATTTTGAGTTCAATCCCAGATTACTGCAATAAAGTGAATATTGCAATAAAGCAAGTCACATGAATTTTTTGGTTTCCCAGTGTATATAAAAGTTATGTTTATACTACACTGTGGTCTATTAAGTACGCAATAGCGTATGTCTAAACAATATACAAACTTTGATTTAAAAATATTTTAATGAAGTGAGCGCATGCTGTTGGAAAAATGGCGCCGATGGACTTGCTTGATGCAGAGTTTTCACAAAGCTTCAATTTGTAAAAAATACAATATGGGCAAAGTACAATAAAATGAAGTTCAATAAAATAAAATATGCCTGTAAATGGGAACAAGCTGCAAGGCCCACAGGTGACTTGGACTGGATGAGTTGCGGATGAGGTTTCAATGAGTCATGAGCCCCATATGCAGAAGGAAGTCATGAGTCCAAGAGGTAGGACCACGCCACCCATCCACAAAGAGGGCCAACCTAAGGTTGTGGAGGAACACAAGCCAACTGCCTAGCTATGGATGGAAACAGAGTCAACAGTCCTGGTCCACTAGCCTAAGACTTGGTTTGGAGTCAGTGCTCAATCACATAGGTCAACACTGAAACCTCCCTTGCTGGAATCTTCCCCAAACCCAGAGCACACAGCAGAAAAGTCCTCAGAAAGATGACTTCCATAGAAGATGAGCTCACAGACAAAACTTAAACAATCTATGAGGAAGATCAACAACACTGAAGATAGTTTTCAGACTCCCTTAAGATAAGACAATTTACATTTATGTAATTAGAGATAACAATCTTGAAGAGATGTTAAAGAAAAATGTATATATGAAACTTCAGAGAACTAAATGAATGAATATAGCCATCATAAATAAGAACAGGTGGTTATCAAATAAAAATTGGCAAATATTTTACAAAACATAAATATTAGAAATTAATCATGTAGTTATTGAGATAACTGGACACAGTTTTATTTGCATTATATAGGGGCATGTGTGTGTTTGATATACAAACATTCGTTTGTACATACATAGAAAATATTTGGAAGAATATATATCAAGTTTTAAATAGTGGCTAACTCTGAGAATGGAACCAGGGATATTTTTTATTTTCTTCTTTTTGTCTACCCATAGCTTCTTCTTTTTTTCTTTCTTGCTTTTTTCTTTTTTTTCACAGTAAGAATGTAATGTTTTTATTAAAAGAAAAAATTGGGCCAGGCACAGTGGTTCATGCAGTGGCTCGCACCTGTAATCCCAACACTTTGGGAGGCCAAGCCAGGAATATTGCTTGAGGCCAGGAGTTTGAGACCAGCCTGGGCAATATAGTGAGACCCTGACTCCATAAAAAATTTAAAAGAATTAGGTGGGCACATTAGCTGGTGCCTGTAGTCCCAGCTATTCAGGAGGCTGAGACAGGAAGATCACTTTAGCCCAGGAGTTCTAGGCTACAGTGAGCTATGATCACACCAGTACACTCCAGCCTGGGCAACAGAGTGAGATATTGTCTCTTAAAAAAAGGAACACTGAAAGAAAAAAATCATTAAGAGACATATTTTAATTTTAAAAGGATGCAGAATTGGCAGCACTCTGGCTCAGCAAATGTTGCCAGGTATAAAATAATTATGAATTAAACCACAGGATATTAATAAAATTTTATCATATTACATGAAAAGAGTTGAATAAATTTTTAACAAATGTTTAGAGCATACTTTGGACTGTCTGACTTTATTTAGGCTAATTGGCATATCCAAAGTCATTAGTCATTCCAGGAGAGCCAGGCAGTCAGCCTCCAGAGTGGCTACAACTGAGATCCAGTGAGAGGCCCCTGCAGGTGCAGAGAAGGGAGACGTACCATGTATTCAGGCTCCGTGGCAGAGAAACCAGGCGGTAGTTTGGAATACGAGCTGCACATCAAAAGGGCAGGTGCTGTAAATTCAGGCACTGACTGAGGCTCAACCTGCCTCTCGGTGGTGTCTTCTGGGTAAGAAGAAACATAATTATTTATTTAACGATGGGTAATGATTCTCCTGAGCAACACCATAAGGCCACTAGTGATAAATTAAAATTATTTCAAGCACCTGTCCTAAAACAAACATTTTCCAACCCTAATGTTATGTTTTCTCAGCCATAAAATCCCAAAGTACTGACCCACAACTGCAGTGCGAGGAGAAATACGTTTGAGTCCACATGGCTCCGTCCTCCTCTGGCCAGGGCTCTGGTATCTCACCACCACCTCCTCAGCTGATAAAGCTTTCCTGGACTTCTCCTTAGGGCCATTCTCCTCCAGTGTGCTCCAGTTGGATCAGCAGGAGATTTTGCACGAGAGCCAACTTGGCTGCAGCCAAGGCCAATGTTGCCAACTCCATATATCACTGCTGGTGTTGGCCATTAGCAACGCAGCTCCCAGGGTTTTGTAGTCATTGTCGCTGCCCAGTGAGGACATTACCATGTACTCTGACCATGGCCTCCACCACCCCATATTGTGCCCCTTGCCAATGAAACCAAAGAGTGCCCTTCTTCAAGACATTGGACTTCCTCTATTGGAAAACCATCATGATATTCTGGTTTTCTTAGGATGCACCACTGGGCTGCCATTTGCTGAAAAAATTTGTGTTTGGTGTCTGTTACATGAATGTGTTTTCCTGGATGTGGTAGAGGGTGTGCACAGTCTTCCAATCACCCATTGAGGAGAGAGAGATGTTTCCCCTGATCAGTAGTCACAGCTTGTTCATCAGGCTTCAAAGAACCACTCCTACTCTTTCTGTTTCCTTATGGCCTCCTGGCTCCCTCCACCCAGGCTGGGTCAGAAGTTATGAACCATCAACCACTATCAACTATCCAAGGGTACACTCAAGAGACTCCTCTCATCAATTTCAAACTATAGCCTTCTACAGTGGACTTTTTGCCCATGCAGGCATACTCTTCAGGGACGAACGTTACCTTTGTCTTCATTCTTTCCCCTGGACATGTAAACCTGCTTTGCTAGCGTCCTGCAATCAGTCCTTAAAGTTCTCTTCATTTCCTTCAAGGAGTCCTAGCAGGTTGTCACACAAAGTGGACACCTGAAATCCATTTGGATATGCCAACATTTATCTCTTCTCTCAATCACAACTGGGGTCCCAGCCATACAATTGTGACTTGTCAGATGCCCCCTACCCTTGGCAGCTCAACCTTGGCCTGCTTCTCTGAAAGGGTCCACTTCCTGTCGTTTCTTATTATTCATTCATGACAGATGATATTTAACAACCAAAGCCGAGCCAACCTGTATAAGGTGTTTGAACTAAACCAAGAAGCTTCTCGCTATAGATTTGTACTGTGTTCAATTTCTTAGGAAAAGAGTACCTTAAAGAAGTAGACATAAGCCAGTGTTTACTAAATTCTCTATGAACAAAGCTCTAGGGTAGACATGGAAGGGGCCTCTAAGATGGTCTGTGCGCTATAGGAATTCCATTCAAATCTGATTAATATGTTGGATTAATTAACATGTTGGATTGGACCTACAGTAAGTACAGACTCCACAGGTTAAGGGTTCAGTCCTATAAGACTGCCCCCACTTCAGATGCCAGCAGCAAGTCCCCAGTAGTCACCAGCACTTCTGACCAACCAGCTATAATTCAGGAGTTCCCACAACCCTTTTATTAGGTTGGATAATTTGCTACAATGACTCAGAATTTAGGAAAGCACTTTACTTACTATTACCAGTTTTTTATAAAAGATACAACTCAGGAACAGCCAAATGGAAGAGATGCATAGGACAAGGTATTGGGATGGAAGGGGGAGCTTCCATGCCTTCTCTTGGCAGGCCAACCTCCCAGGATCTCCATGTGTTCACCAACCCAGCAGCTCTCTGAACCTCATTATTCAGAATTTTTAATGGAGGCCCTATTAGGTAGGCATGATTGATTAAATCATTGGCCATTGGTGATTAGCTCCATCTCCAGCCCCTCTCTCCTCTTAGGAGATAAGGAGGGGAGCTGAAAGTTCCAACCCTCTAATTCTGTCTTTCTGGTGACCTGAAGCTATCTAGGAGCCCTCAGCCACCAGTCATCTCATTAGTATACAAAAGACACTCTTATCTCTGTGAGGACAAAGGCCACCTATATATTTATCACACCGGGTCCCTTCATGGAGAAAGTTTCCAGTTTATTTTAGAAAATAAGAATCACCATGCTTTGCTGATGGCCTGCTACAGTCCCAGTTTACACACATTGTCCCAGTGTAATTATTATTCCCAACCCCATTCATGGGTTGGAGGTTAAAAGTTATACAGTCATCCTAGAGAAAAGGCACATTCATATGAAAAGAGAACTTGGAAATCCAGAGTAGAACATATTAGTGCCATCAATTGTTGAGTAAAGGATTGTCCCAGAATGCATGAGGCTGGCCAGAGATGACTGGAATCAATATCTAAGGATCCTTTTCTTACCAGGCCCTTCACATGCCTCTCCCAGCAGGGAAAATGAGGGTTGTGGAGAGGAAGAGAGAGCACAGGGTTAGATCCAACACTGCTGTGGTTTGGATGTTTGACACCTGCAAGCCTCATGTTGAAATTTGACCCCCAGTGCTGGAGCTGGGGCCTAATGGGAGGTGTTTGGGTCATGAGGGTGGATCCCTCATGAATGGCTGGGCACCTTTCCGTGGTGATGAGTGGGGTCTCACTCTATTATCATAGTTCCTGAGAAAGATGGTTGTTAAAAAGAGCTTGCCACCTCCCTCCTCTCCTCCTGCTTTTTTCTCTCTCACCATGTGATCTCTTCTACATGCCAGCTCCCCTTCCCCTGGCACCATGAGTGGAAACGGCCTGAAGCCCTCACCAGAAGCAGACGCTGGTGCCGTGCTCCCCGTAAGGCTTGCAGAACCCTGAGCCAGACAAACTTCGCTTCTTTATAAGTTACCCAGCCTCAGGTGTTCCTTTGCAGCAACACAGAAGAACAAAGACAAGCACATCCCAAGACAGTCAGTCTGCTTTCACGGTTTATCAGTAAAGACAAATAAAAGGTTAGAAACAAATTTTAAAGAGGGGACTCGAGAGAGAATTATGGACTTTAAACCTATGAAGACCTGAAGACCTACTTGTTATCCACACATACCGTAGGTTCTGAATGCTGAGTGAAAAATAGCTTAGGTCACAGTGTGCGTGTGCGTGTGCAAGTGTGAGTGTGAGAGAAAGAGAGAGAGAGAGAGAGAGAGAGAGAGAGAGAGAGAGAGAGAGAGAGACTATATGTCCATCTGCATCTCACTTAGGGGTTTCGTCTGGGGACATTGCTGTGCCTGGCTGCCCCTCCCCAGGCATTTCCGGCCCCTGGCACTCTCCTTCTGTGCTCCCACGCGCCATGTTCCCAGTCCTCATTACTGAGGAGATCCTTGCACAAAGGCAAAGGTTAAGGCTCTTTTACTCCCAACGTCTCTTACTGTCTTTTTCTGAAGTAACACCCAGGCATCGGGAGCAATATAATCTTAATTCCCAAGAAGACTTAGCCAAATGGCCCCTTCCCTCCTCTGCTCCCTGTGCCGGCCCAGCCCGCAGCCTCCTCCTCCCTCACACTGAAGCCTGGATGCCTGGATGACGCCATCTCCTTGGTGAGGGAAGAGGAGGCTCTCCCGAGGGAAGGGGCTAATGGGACATCTGGCTTGGCTGCCCATGTTCAGTTCAATTATTTACCCTTCCTGTGGCTGACCCCACTAACCACACCTAGAGATGTCCCCAGGGCACACTGCGGATGAAGGGTTTTCCTCTGCATGTTCTCATGTCTAATTCAAGCAGATCCTGGAAGCCTTGGCAGGGAGGGCGGGCAGCAGGGCAGCATGACAGAGCCAATTCTGAGACTCCACGCCTTTCCCTGGGATTGACAGAGGGGAACAGAGAGGGAACCCCCACAGGCCCAGGTGGGGAAAGTGATAAAGATGGGCACACTTCCAACACCCTAGTCACGGACAACTTTCTGCAACCTGTCAAAGAATAATTTTCAAAAAGTCAGAAACATGATTCTTAAGGGATGGCATGAGGGAAGTTCCTGGAGGATGATGGACCTGTTCTATAGTCTAATTGTGGCTGTGGTTGCATGACTCTATATGTGGGTTAGAATTCATAGAACTGTATATGAAAAAAAGTCAATTTTGCCATATGTTAATTTTTTAATTTAAATTTTAAAATATGGCTTTCATACAAATATAGAATGAACAGATATCAAAAATGTATTTAACTTCATAGAAGTTGACCCAAACAAAAAAGTATTTAATGAGGGCATAGGTGGCATGCACCTATAGTCCCAGCAACTTGAGAAGCTGAGGCAGGAGGATCACTTGAGCCCAGGAGTTCAAGGCTGCAGTGAGCTACGATAACAACCCTGCACTCTAGCCTGGATGACAGAGCGAGATCCTGTCTCTTAAAAAAAAAAAAAAAAAAAAGCATTTAACTAACTAATGAATGAGAGAACCACCAGAATGGTTAAACTGGTTCAAAAAAATATAGGAAACACTGAAGTAGTTTTAGTCAGTGAATGAAAAAATACTGAAATAATAATATTGTTAAATGACTTTATGTAAAACCTTAGCCGGTTTTTATTTGTATCACCATAAAATTGTCAAAACCACAAGGGAGTTTCAGTCTAGGTCCAGTTGCTTGTTGCACAAAAATCCAATTATTGAGATAAGAATTGCTAAGGAAGAAAGGAATTTTTAATATGACAGATGTCAAGAGAATGGAAGAAGCTGTCTCCCAACTAAGGGATATCATGGGCTTTTAAAGGAGGAGTCATGTGCCTTCGGGGAAGATTGTGGTGTATATCACAAGCAGCTACGTGCACTGGGGGCAGGTTGTAGGGGGAATGGTGAATCTTGGCATCAGGGAGTCTGTCCTGGAGCCTTCAGAACCCCAACTCCTTTGTCTTGTAGAAAATCCACCATTTCAGGCTCATGCCTATAATCCCAGCACTTTGGGAGGCCTAGGTGGATCACTTGAGGCCAGGAAGTCAAGT